ATTATATATCTGTAATAATCCACGATTATGTTTATATTTGCCAAATATAACAGATCGTAAAAATGGTTTGGCTTGTCGTTCAGCTCCTAGATATGACTCTAACTATCCGTTTTTGTCAAATAGACTCGCAGAAGATGCTAAGATTTGTGCATTAATGGGAAATATTAACGAATATAAATCAAATTCATCTTTATTTTATTGTGAAAAATCTCATAAATATATATCAAAACATCGTCTCATTGATGGAATTCGAGATTGTTATTACGAAGAAGATGAAGGTTATGCAGATAGTTGTTCATTAAATGATACTCAACGCTTTAATTGTACATCAGAAACAAAATGTTTATCACCTATAAGTATTGGCATTGATCCACCTCAATGCGAAAATGGAGAAGATAAAGACAAAGACAAGCTAAAAATATCTGTATATGCACAACTATGTAATAGAATATATCATTACGCAGAATTACCACCAGAAGATGATGGTGAAGACGATGAAACTAATTGTGAATGGTGGCCTTGTCATACACCGTATACTCGATGTGATAATGTTTTTCACTGTGCTAATGGCATCGATGAATTAAATTGTCCTAATGTTAATTGTAATATTGATGAATTTAAATGTCAAATTATTGATTCAACTAATGATTATTATTGTATTCCTCAACAATATATTTACGAAAAACCAATCGATTGTATTGGTCATAATATTAGTAATCATCTAGATCGAACTACATTTTATTCGAATAACTTAACTTTTAATATTAATAAAGAATATATATCATGGAAAGAAAAGACTTGTTTAACTAAAAATGATATTTGTGGTTCTTCATCGAGTAATAATCAACAATTAATATGTAATATTGTTGAAAAAGAAAACATTCATTTTAACGCTGACTCTTTAATAAATTTGTATAATAATGGAACATTATGTCGCATGGCAGATCATAGAATCCATGAAGGTTCTTATTATTTTTCGGCATGGAATTTAGGATATTTTCCACCAATAATAAATTCAACATCATCATCACCATTACCGCAACAGTCTGTTAATATTAAGCCACAAAAACCTCTCGAAATACATACTAGTATTGAATTAATTGAATATTGTAATCGTGGAATTGTTATATTTGAAGGAAAATCATTTGAAAAGAAATGTTTATGTCCACCTAGTTATTACGGTCATCGATGTCAATGGCAAAATCAACGTGTTAGTTTAACTCTTCAAATACGTCCATTAGGTTCATATGAGAAGAAACTTTCTATTTATGATATATTTATTTATTTAATTGATGAACAAAATGGAATAATACATAATTATGAAAAAATAAATTATATCCCATCAATAGATTGTAACACAAAATACAATCGTTATTTACTTTATCCTGATCAACCAAAAAATCCTAATCATACATATTCCATACGCATTGATATTTATGAAAAGTCAACATTATTAAATTATTATGGAAGTTGGAATTTATTTATTCCATTTCCATTTTTACCAGTTAATCGTATATCAACACAACTTCGTATTCCAT